TAAAATGTGTTCAATGTGTTCGTCATGCAATTTTCGCGCTGTTCAGAACGCGCGCGTGTTCTCCTGACTTTTGTGTGTGCATCGATGTGTGTTTTTATATGTATATACGTGACTGTATTGGCTGTGTGTGTTTTACTCATTATATGAAGTGTCTTGCCAATCGGCAGCTGACAATTGGCAGGTGCATTGATTTTCATGCTGGTTAACTAGCTCTTCAGTGTTAAGTCTTAAAAAAACGCACAGGAAATTTAATTAAATAAATGCAGACCCATAAGGGTGCTACATCATCACGCGGATACACACACTTGCACTCACATAGGCCAATGCACTATGGGTCAAATTTACAAAATTTTATTGCAAATCCATTAGGTATACCCCATTAGTAAATGTTACATACTCAGAATTTTAACAGAGGCGCGATCTGCTAACAAAACTGCTGTTAAACAGAGCTGTTATGCATGACACGCACATTATTAATATTGTAAACAACTTTATATGAATTTCAATCGCCAATTGAAATAAAAATAATGGCAATTAGATTAAAATTGTTGGTGAAAATATGGAATCGGGCTTGTTCTTTGTTTTTACGTGTTTGTATTGTCCAAAATCTTTATGTGATGTGAAGTTTTGTGTAAGCCAAAAAGCTGTCATTGACATCATTTCAAAATAAATTTTTGTCTTTGATAAGAGAAAACTTGTGTTTGCAGCATTTTGTAGCAATGAAACTACGCCCATTTTATGGAGTATTCAATTCCGAACTAAGACCTTTAAGTTCAACGTGCACTTTTGCGCACTTTTTGCGCAATTTCATTTTTCAGCAACTAACCTCGTCTCAGATGGAAATAAGCATGTCCGAAAGGCAGGACTTTTCAAATTTTGAGTTTTATGGTATGCTTGCTTCAGATAATGAAGAATACGATGATTAATAATAAAAGAGTTACATATATTTTAATGTTATTTGTGCTTAAAATCATAAAATATAACCTTTTATTCCTTGAAAAAAATGTTTGTTGTAGAAGTTGCTACTATAAAAACTATATAATTTTGATAAATTTTTACAACATGAAAACACACCTAATATGTGAATTTGGTGTAAATAATTTAAAAAGCAAGAAGTTATGACAGCTAATAATATGAAAGAGAGGCGGTGCCACACCTATTTTTTCATCACAAACGCGTGTTGCGAACGAAAGTCAAATGCAAAAAAAAAAAATTAATTATCTTGACTGGTTCAAAAGATATTAATTCCAAAAAAACAGGCTTTTGACCCATAGTGCAATGTTACACACACATACACAGATATCTGCTGCCTGTGGAGGCGATGCGTTGTAGCAACATGTCTTTGACTCAGATATTCGCACTCGTACTTTTTGCCCATCACTTACAGCTACACGCACACACGTGCACAGTCTCACATACACACACACGCACTCACACTTGCACGCATTGGGATTTCGTGCTCGTATTTATAAATTTATTATTATGACTAAATTGTTAACGTTCGTATGAATCGCTACTCTCTCGCTCTCTCTCTCTCTGTGCCCCTCTCTTTTCCCACTCTCTCGCTCTTTTGCCCTTCGAAATGTCAAAATATTGCGGAAATAAAATTTTTTGACTCGCGTTCTCAGCTGCGCTGCACAGCGCGACGTTGCCAGCTGGAAGTTTGCCTTTCGCAGCGAAGTCACATGCTTTTGAGCTTTCTAATGCCAGGGCAGGCAGTCGCGCAGTTGTCAGCAGTTAACATATGCAGGGTAAGTTTTTTACTGTGCAAAGTCCCATCTATATATTCAAAGCGTTACTTCAATTACAAAGTATTTGTATTGCGCAATGACAGATTTGACTGCATTTTGAAAATGAGAATTTCACAAGCAACATTCATTTGCACTTTAGCCTCTTGCACAACGTACCCTGTCTGCTTTCAGCCCTAGATATGACAAGAAGAGCTGAAGACCCACAGCTGGCACCACTGCAATAACGGCTCTCTCTCTCCCTCTATGTGTGTGTCACTCTCTCGTCAATTTGCGTTCGTTTTGGTGCTCTGGCGTATCGCTCTGGTGCGTATCGTCGTCTATGGCAAGTGGCATATCGGCTGCAAGTTTAGTCCTGACTCATACGCGTAGTTGAAAAGTCCTTCGAATAGCCTTCTCAAAGTGCGCAAATCAAATATATTTTTTTCCAGTGTCTTACCTCTCTGTGTATGTGCGTATCTATCTATCTATATATATATATATATATATATATATATATATATATATATATATGTATATGTATGTGTGTACATTATATATTTATATACATATATTTGTACTTAAATATTTGTGTGTGTCTGTGTGTGTATTTGTCCATGTTAGCGTACACGCACGCGTGTGTTATTGTAGATGTGCGTGGGTGTGTTAAAAACAAATATAAGGTTTGAGCTAAGCAAAGGCAAGAACAAAAGCTGTGATTCCAAACCAAAGGCGCGAAGTAGCTTAACCAGGCAAAGACATGGCACAAGACACAGGACAGAAGGCAGAAGTGGTAATGTTGCCTGATGTGGTTGTGATTTTCTTTTTCTGTTGAGCTTCCATTGTTGTTGCATTCGATAAAGTACAGCATCTAAAGGCGTCGAAATCATCGATGAGGCACGATACTGAGCGGCTGGCTGCTGGCGACAAAGAAAGCGAACAAAGAAAATGCTAAAACCGACATCCTTTGTTTAAGCTAAACGATTCGCAAATCGGGGGGCACTTCATTTGTGAGCCGCAGATTTTGTGCTGTCCTCTTTGGCCGCTTCATTTACCGCTAACTACTTGTGGGTTGCTATTGGTTAATTTTTTGTGTTATTGCTAAAGCCCCGTTTATCGTGCACAGTTGTACGTTGTCGCTGTCGATATCGCTGTCCCAGTCGCAGTCGCCGTCGCAGTCGCTGTCGCAGACATTCTGAGTCAGCGCTTAAATCTGCCGCCCACCTCTAGCACGGGCTTACGAGGAGGGTAGTTTTGTTATTGTGTTTTCATTTCTCTTTTTCCTCTCTTATTATTATTCTTCAACTTCAACCACTTACCACCGCTGCCATCGCTGACGCTGTCTACGTCATCAATATCGACGACGCCCGCGCCTTGCACCCTGCTCCGTTTTCTGCTGTTGCTGCTGCTGCTGGGGCAGCCATACAACAACAAACTAAAACTTGGTGTCATTGGCACTCTCCTTTCTTCTTTTCATTCTAGCTTCTATATATGTATTTTGTGTTTAAACTTTCCGCTGGTACATCGCGTGCTCGACGCGCATAAAGTTAAAATAAAACTTGGCGAACGCACAGAAAATCAATTGATTAAAGAGTTGTGTATACATACATATGTACATATGTATATACATGTAAAGCGAGAGAACGAAAATGAAAAAGAATTAGGCAGGTGTTAGAGAGGGAGTAAGACTAACGGTACACTATGCGCATCAAGCTTTCAATATTGCTTTAGGGCTATGATTTACATGATACGAACGAACCACTGTAGTCGGTGACAACAATAACAAAAACAACAGCAGTAACAAAAACAAAAACAACAACAGTAACAGCTGTCCAAAGGCTGACGAAAGAAGAGACACAAATCTAAATGAAATGAACTATTAAAAAATTTTTTGAGTAAAACAAACATAAATATAAATGATAAATATAAATAAAATAAAATAATAAATAGAATAATTATAAAGAATATATGTTTGCATTCGTATAAGATTCGCCATTGTTGCACTCACAACTGCTCACCGCTCACTGCTCGCCGGTAACGTAACCGCTTAACGCTCTCATCACCACTGACCACTAACACTGACAACCACCAATACCGACCACCACCACCACCACCACCACCACCACCAACCAAGCAACCTACTAGATAGACATAAGAAACACCAACCAAGCAACCAAGCACAACTCAACTTAACTCAACTCAACTCTGCTTTGAGCCTCGAATCTCGACTCGACTCAACTCAACTTATATATTTGGAACAAAGACAGCGCGCTCTTTGATGACGCTTCTCACAATGTCGTCAACGTTTTCATTTGCAAAATGTGAGCGATCCTTTACAGTTATAACTTACTACATATCTAGATACATAGATGAATATGTAGATACAACTTATTTAGGTATATGGGCATTTCCATTACATTAATCTTTTGAATCTATCACTAATGTTATTGAAAATTAAAGTTTGCTTTTCTTCAAGTTTATGCTGAGTGAATGTCCATATACAAATGCCTTGAACCAGTTCTCGTTCTTGTTCTTGTTCTTGTTCTCGTTCTCACTTTCAATGAATAAAAATACATTTTAACTAGTTTAGTTGCCTATCCGCACACGCCCTTACCTTAAACCCTTACACACCGAAGCTCCAGAAAATTTTGCTATCCAAAATATTATTTATTTTGCCAACTAGTGGCAATTTTTTTGTTTCCCGTTCTATATTTTATTTATGTAACCATTAGCTAACTAGACTTACAAACATAATTCTTCTTTTCCAAGGTTCCGTTGTACAACATCTTGATTTTAGGAGCTACAACATAAATCAAGCCATACTTTCATAATTTCCTGTCTCTAGCTCGTCTAACTATCTCTTCAGCATTTCCATTTATTTATTCTCCAAGCTTTCCACCAACATGCAAAGTCATGCACCTGCCTTAGATGTCCAATTATTATTTTTGTACATTAATGCATAATCTGTAGTTAGAGTAATACCCAAGTTTTCCAAATAAGTTCCACATTGGACAATCCATCTGTAAATACATTTCTGCTCTGCTTGCTTTCTCCTACTCATAATAATCAATAAGTCAGTCAGTCAATAGAACCTTTGCCAAATAATTTCAAGCTATAAGTCCGAATTGTGAATTGAATGAATAAAATAAACAGAAAATTTCGTTAACTTTTTTATAATTATTTATTTTTTATTTATTTATTTTATTTTATTTTTTTTTGTAGTTCCTACGTTTAGTGCGTTCGTTCATTCGTGCGCTCGTTATCTTTAACAATTTCATTAGATAATATAATATAAAAATATATATAATATAAAAAATCGAAAACCCGGCGACAGAAAAGCGAAAATTAAAACAGATTATGTAAAAGTATGCCGAAAGTGTTTCTAATCTTAAGTTCTTCAAATTCTCTCTTAAAATAATTACAATACACACAAAATTCACACAAACAAAACAATATAAAAACAACAACAACAAAATCCAATCGAACAATCATTTATCGAAATAAACGCAGCCGAATCTGAGCAATCGATTAGTACCAAAGCATATGAGTTTTTACCAGAAGGTAAGTTAAACAGAACAAATATTAACGAACAAAAAAAACAAATGTTTTCTTTTTAGCTCTGTCTGTCCGTCCGTATGTATGAACGCGTGGATCTCAGAAGATATAAGAGCTAGAGACTTGAAATTGTTTTTCCTAGATCCGTGTATAGCACGCGCATATCGAGTTTTTCTTTAAATATCGATAATTACTCCCGATATTTTATTATCGGTTAAAAACCTTATCGAAAGCTAGTTATTTAATTATATCTCCTACACCTTTTTATACCCTGAACCCATTTTCAATGGGAAATCAGGCAGAAGAAGGCGTGGCAGACCCCACAAAGTATATATATTCTTGATCGGGGTGACGAGCTGAGTCGATTTGGCCCTGTCCGTCTGTCTGTCCGTCCGTCTGTCCGTATGTATGAACGCGTCGATTGTAGAAGATATAAGACCTAGAGAAATTTTTTTAAAAATGTCCGTATTTACAGCGCGGAATCGAGTTTATCATTAAAAATCGATAACTCATCCCGAACTTTTTTTATCGATAAAAAACCTTATCGAGAATTAGTTTTAAAATTATATCTTCTACACCTTCATTGCTAGAGTCTCCAAAGTTTTAATGTATGCTTATATGCAATTTATGCAATTTCGCTTTTTGTTAAAATTTACCCCCCACCTCTATATCCCCCCCTTCACCCTCACTTTTGTAAAAGGCGCATTTCAAATACTAGAGACTTTACTTTGGCAAATACATGCATATTCATGTTATTATTATAATCTAAAAGTTTCTTGAAGATCGTATGACGCGAAAAATTATTGAAATATCTATTGCTCCAAGGGTTTAGGGGATCTCGTAGTCGAGCAGTCTCGACTAGAGCTTTCTTACTTGTTTATCTAATAAAAACATTCAAGTTCAAGTCAGATGCCAGTATAGCTAATTGTGAATGATTCATAATTTTTTTAAAATTGTCAAATATTCAATAGAGTATGTAGATCATATGCTGAAAGTTTCATTAAATTCCGTTAAGTCAATCGACGTTAAAAAATAATAAAATGTTTGACCAGTTAACAAACGCACGTGCAACAGCTAGCACATTCTTAGAATCACATCAGCTGTTAGTTTGGTTTACTTTTGCTGGATGGCGCTGCAGCAATGAATCCATTTCAGTTTTGCCAACGTAGCTTCCAAAAGTGAGATGGCGTAGTGAGTAGCTGCGTGTCGCTCGATCGAGAAGTCGCGGGTTCGAATCCCGAGCGGCGCAACTGACGTTAATGTTTTTAATTGTTTCAAAATATTTATTAAATATTATTATTAAATGAGTTTTCTATTTCATTTATATTTTTAAATACATCGAAATTGAAATTTTTACCATACTAAATGTGCATTTCTATTAGTTTGGTTCAGGGTAGTATCTAGTCGAGCACTCTCAACTAGAGTTTTCTTACTTGTTATATTTCTGATACCGGCTCCAAACTCACCAAACTCCCCAGTGAAGGTCAGATGCCAGTATAACTAATTGTGAATGATTGGCATTTTTATACCCTGAAACCATTTTCAATGGGAAATCAGGGTATAATGTGTGAAAAAGTATGTAACGGGCAGAAGGAGTCATCGCAGACCCCATAAAGTATATATATTCTTGATCAGCACGACGAGCTGAGTCGATATAACCCTGTCCGTCCATATGAGTGCGTCGATCTCAGAAGTTATAAGAGCAAGAGAGCTGAAATTTGGCATGCATACTCGTGTGTACTATACGCAGTACAAGCTTATAATATTTTTTTCGATAGCTCATCCGATAACTTTTTTAAATCGAGAATAATCGAAAAATTGATTTTGTTTTTTCCGCCTAATTTAAAAATTTGTGGATATAGAAACTTCAGATTTACTGTGTATACATTTGATCGATACAAAGATTTTGTAAATTACAGATTTTGGATACCACGTCCCCTTCGCTCCCAATTTGTAAAAAACGCATTTCAAGTACTAGTTACTTGTACTTTGGAATGTACACACATCTTCATATGATTACGCTCGGAAAGTTTCCTTCAGATTGTATGTCTACAAAAGAAATTATTCAACAAATAAATTGTCATAATATTGCCCACACTGCAGCGCAGCCCAAGCGCAGTCGCTGCTAACTGCGCAGTCAGCAGAGCGCGTGATTATACGTGCATGTGTGCATAGAAGAAGTGCAGAATGAGTGAAATATCAGCTTAGAGGGTTCAGGGTATCTCCTTGTCGAGCAGTCTCGACTAGAGTATGAAATTACTAGAATTCTCAGCAGTTCGTTTAGTTTAGATTTGTTAGATGGCGCTGCAGAAGTGAACCTATTTCAGTTTTGCCATCGCATATTTTAATTTTGTTAGCAGCGCGCCGCTCAGTCGAGGAGTCGCGAGTTCGACTCCAGAGCGCACAATTTATGTTTATTTTAAATGTTTCAAAATATATAATTATCGCAATATACATATGTATGTATGTATGTATATATATTGAGTGACATAAAAGCTTAGCCGAAAACGAGTCGAGTGAAAGAGTGAGCTCTTACATGACTCAAGGCAGAATATTCAGCCGAGCAAGAAAATAATTAAAGTAGTGGGAGTGGAAGTGGAAGTACATGATTTGATAAGTTCGCTTACAGACACAAAAATGATCATACATGTAGCAGTGTGTGTGTACATGCTTGTCGCGAACAGATTTCAAGTTTTCTGCACAATTGCTTGTGCATACATAGAAAGAGAGAGAGCATAGGGAAAAAAAAGAGTAATTGAGAGAGAGTAACTCAAAAATAGGGCATAGCATATGAAAATGTGATTATGTATGTTTGAGCGCTCGCAGCGCACTGAGTTTGTTAAGCCGAGCAAATACGAAGAAAATGCTTGCAAAAACTCGAGTGATTCGACGCCTTTACGCTTTGGCATCTTTTTCATTCCGCTTTAAGGTTTCATTTATTTACGCTCATTTTATTGAAGACCGTAAGTTATCAAACTTTGAATATACAGTGCTTATCATAATTATAGCCCACTTTTAATCCACTGAAACGAATCGGCTGAAAACTTTTCCCAAATGGCATATTTCCTCAAAATCTTCAAAAATGAGTAGTTCAATATTTCAATTATGAATGGCAAAAAACTTTTTCACTTAAAATTCACGATTTAATAATGATTTCATAAAAAGTAAAAAAAAAAAAAAAACAAAGAAAAACAGCACCATTTTCTGTATCAAAATTATAGCCCATATTCATATTTTTGTAAAAAAAAATCCGAATTCCTGGCGGATTGATGGAAAAACTAATGTTAATACTTAGTCCGGCCTCCATTTGTCTTAGTTAACTCAAAAATTCTCTTCCTCATTGAAACCACTAAATTTAATAAAAGGTCCTTTTCGAAACTTTGTCATTCATTTAGAATTTGCGTTTTAAGATATCCAACTGTTTCCAACTGGCGATTTTTGGCATACACACGTATTGCAAGATTACCCGAGACATTTTTATCGCGTTGAGATCCGAAAAACATGCTGGCCAGTCAAGGACATCAACATGACATTCCTCCAAACACTCTTCTGTACGTCTGCTCACATGGATTCAGGCATTATCCTGTTGGAAAACCATTGGTTTCTCACGTAATTCCCTTAAATATGGATTAAGACTACTATCCAGAGCCTGAATATACTCTTCACTGTTCATTCGGTTCATTACAAACTTCAATTCCCAGGTACCAAATGAAAAAAATGGACCCCAAATCATGACGGAGCCACCTCCAAAGTCTGTCCTTCAAAAAAACATAGGATCCTTCCTCCAATCATGCTAATAAGTATCAAACCCACCAGGACCATCCAGGTTAAACTTCTTCCCATCAGAAAATGTGACCTGTTAGGGTAAAAATTTTTAAATATACTGTAAGCCAAAAGACGATGATTCAAACGCGCGTATGTCAGATCGGTCGCAGTATGTCCTTCGGCAAAACCAAGTCGAGCAACCTTGTGGCGACTTAGCAACATGGATGCTTTGGTCAGTTTAGACCTATTTATGATTCCTGAGCTCTTAAGTACTCGCCAAACAGTCATCGCTGACATAGATTCGCCCACATGTGAGGCCAAAGCTGTACAAGCGGTTGAGCTGTTGCTGGTTTTCTTAATAATTTTGCGTTTATCGTGCGCAATTAGTAACGGTTTTCACCCAGTGCGCCTTCTTGATCCTTATTCTTCGGTGTTATCCAAAAAAAAATTTAATTACACTTTGATTTTTTTTTTCAAAATTCGTAAAATACTCGAAATAGACTCTCCTGACTCGAAAAGTGAGAAAATACGGCCCTTTTCATAATAAGATAATTGTTTTCCAAGCGGCATCTCTTAAAAACTATCTAAATTTACTTAATTACAATGTCTGTAAAGCCGCACTTAATAAATTCAAATTTGCGACAGTGGGCTATAATTATGATACACAAAAATGCAAACAAAAATGCTAGCACAGAGCAAAAGTTAACGGTTCTTTCTTAGTTTTTCATAAATGGAACTAAAATTTCAATAAAATCTACTAAACATGCTCCACTCTACAAAGTGCTGTAAAATTTATTTTTAAGTTGCTGGGTGGGCTATAATTATGATAAGCACTGTATTAGCGCTGGGACTTTTGAAGCCGTTTATAGTATCCATAGTGGTATTTTAGTGAGTATTCAGGACAAGGAATCGATTATATTTAACTTTAGTGTAAATTTTTTCGAATAAATATTTAACACTGTATAAATAAATGAGTTTTTTATATCATTTATATTTTAAATATATTGAAATTATGCACTCATTTAGGAAAATGAATTAGTATATTGGTTTTGTGCAATGACCGTCTTGCTGTCCGTCCATCTGTCCATAAGAACGCAATTTTTTCGGCGCTATTGAAGCTAGAGACTTGAAATTTGGAACACATACTCGGGTATATCTCCGATTTATTAAGTGTTAAAATTTTCCTGATCCGCCCAGCATTTCCGCAAATCGAAAAACGCATTTTCCAATATGCCAGAAAT